CAGAACATTAAAAGCTTCAAGTGATAAAGCGAAATCGGAAACGAAGCCGCGCTTTGAAAAAGGGCCATTAATGTCGTCATGTTTATTTTCAGCCACGGAGGCTGCCTGACCTGCAATTTAAGACGTGAGCGTCGGGAATAATTGTCAGGTCTGGGAACCAGACTAAAGAAAATGTACCCTACTGGGCATTTTGCACATGCGAGTTGAAGCGAAATTCAAGAACTCACATTCACAAAATTGTGTACACAAATACACAGTGATCAAGCGATAAGGTTCGCTCGTACCCCCCGCCCTGCAAACAGGGCGCTGGGAAGGGCAGCTGAGCTTCACATAATCTTGTGAAGGAAGTGGGGATAACATTCTTGGTAATTTATCATGACCTATGTATAAAGCATCTGGCTGCAGCTGTAGACCGCGGTTAGCCCATGCGCGCAAATACTATCCGAAAATTTTGCCATAGAAATGCATACACACCATACCAGATGTAATTTCTTTTTCATTGCGGAACATGTGGACACATTTTGAGCGTCGAATGATATGCATTTCGACTCTTCGTGAAATCGAAACGAAGCCTGTATGAGCAACTGACGGGAGTTGAAAAATTACCTCACAGAGCAGATTTTCCTACGTTATTTTGCTTTTCATCCAAAAAAGGGCGCCGCATTTATGAATGGGAATAAAAGAGTGATGAATGACTCAGTCTTAACGGCCATTTCAAAACAGGGTCGTTGTCGTGATGACTTGCAGGTCACAGGTCACGCAAAATCTATCCAATCAGAGCATTAATTCGTCATCAGCCCTTCCCAGCGTCCTGTTTGCAGGGCAGGGGTGCGAGCGAAGCGATAAGGCCTGCACATCAGCAGACAGTCAAAGGAGGGCGCGAGCATAATTATGGCAAGTTGAAGATTGTCAGTACAGCAGAAAATAAGCGGGGAAAAAAAGCAATTTTACACACAAATTTGCACAGAAACTGGAGAGAGAGTCGTGAAGTTTATCCAAAAAAATGACGGAGCTTTATCGACATTTTTTCCGAGAAAAATAACATTAATCGAAAGCATAGGCATATTATATATTCTTCATAATACTCGATTAAGGACAACATTTTTTTGCCATGTTTGTTAGTAATTACATAAAAACTGAAAATACCCCCGCTGATTATATGGATCGTTCCAATGGGGATGTTTCCAACGGTTTGTGTGGTGCATCAAAAAGGACCACAAACAAATTGATATTCACATTTTCGCCAAAAAAGTTGGACATTCCAATGGCTCCATCGTGCAAAAATTGTGGATACTATTACACTGGAGACTGTCACATTAGATTCATCTATTCAGAAAATATCTGGTCATGGTAACAATACAGTTATCTTCGGTGGATACTTTAATCTCCTTGGCTGGGATTGGTCAACTAAATATCTCAAAACCAATGTTCATCATCCATCAGTTCACAGAAAGTTTGTTGATATACTAGATGACAACGGCTTGGGCTCAGATGGTTGAATAACCGACTCGTCTTGGAAATATTCTAGACCTGATCATCGCAAATCGCCCTAACCAAATCAACAGGACACAGGTCATCCCTGGTATCAGCGATCACAACATAGTCTACACAGAATTAGATATAAAACCAACGCACAGCAAATAACTTCCTTGGAAAATGCCCTTGTACAGCAAGGCCAACTGGGAGAGTTTTCATCATATTGCCTCCCAACTAGCTGATAAAATTCATGGCTCAACATACCTCAACAGTTGATCAGTTGTGGGATATCTTCAAGCAAAGCATTCACGAAGGGATTCAATTATTCATTCCTCGTATATCAACCGAGTCCAAAGATTCTCATCCTTGGATCTGAGCTCAACCTATAGAGGGGAAATTCGCTGCAGGGACAAAGCTTATACACTTACACTTACGATTTAATGGGAATAAGTATTAGGCTTTATAAGCCTTTATGACCCCATATCTCTTCCAGTACTCGTCGAGCTCATGTTTGAAAGAATTTGTGGTCTTGGCATTCACAACATAACTTGGTAGATCGTTCCAAGTGTTGACTACTCTCTGGGAGAAGAAGTCTTGCCTGCATCTCAGAGCTTTGTTCATCCCACTCTTAAAGATCTTCATGTTGTGTCCTCTTGTTTCTCTTGTGTTGGAGATTTTGAAGAATCTTGTTGGTTCTGTTTTGTCAAATCCGTTGAAAATCTTGAACACTTCTATAAGGTCGCCTCTTGTTCTCCTTTGTTCTAGGCTGTACAAGTCGAGTGCCTCTAGCCTGTCTGGATAGCTAAGATGTCTTACAGCAGGAACCAGTTTGGTTGCTCTTCTTTGCACCTTCTCCAATGTGTGGATATCTTTCCGCAGCCCTGGGTTCCATGCTTGGACGCAGTATTCAAGATGAGGCCTTATGTATGTTTTGTACAATACAGCAAAACTATCCTTGGTTATATGCTTGAAGGTTCTCTTGATAACTCTGAGGCTCTTCATCGCTTTCTGGGCAGACTTTGCACACTGAACAGACGACTTACAGTTGTTGCAGATATACACTCCCAAGTCTTTTTCTTGATCTGTTTCTTGTAGTTTGGTATCTCCCATCTGGTAGACACATCCTGGGTTGTTGTTTCCCATATGCATGGTTTTGCATTTGTCTGCGTTAAACCGTAGGAGCCATATCTTGGACCAGTTCAGCAGTGCATCGATATCACTTTGTAGTTTGACTGCGTCTTCCGGTGACTTTATCCTTGTGAACATTTTAGTATCATCGGCAAACATCTGAACATTTGATTTTACTGTTCCAGGTAAGTCGTTGATGTACAGGATGAAAAGAAGCGGTCCTAGCACCGATCCTTGAGGAACTCCGCTTGCAACGTCTGCATGACTTGATTCAGCATTCCTTACTGCTACTACCTGAGATCTGTCAACTAGAAATCCCTCAATCCACTTGGCTATCTTTCCTTCAATTCCATATGTAGACAGTTTTCCTAGTAGTCGTCTATGTGGGACTGAGTCGAAGGCTTTTTGGTAGTCCAAGAAGATGATGTCTACTCCGCTGCCCTCATCTAAGTCATGGGTAACCGTTTCTAGTGTTTCAAGCAGGTTTGTCAAACATGATTTACCCTGAGTGAATCCGTGCTGCCTGTCAGATAGTATCTCATGTTGTTGTACGAACTCAGTCATCTTGTCCTTGATTAATGACTCCATTACCTTGCAGGGAATGCACGTCAGGCTAACTGGCCTGTAATTACCAGATTTTGTCCTAGATCCCTTTTTGAAGATAGGGGTTACCCTGGCTGTTTTCCAGTCTTTAGGTAGTTCTCCACTGTCAAGTGACTTTCTGTAGACATGGTACAATGGTAATGACAGCTCTTCACTGCATTCTCTGAGTACTTTGGGGTGAATCTGGTCTGGCCCTGGGCACTTGTCTGGTTTTAATTTGTCAAGTTTTGCTTTGATGTCGTCGTAGGTGAAGTTCAAGTCATCCAGGATGATGTCAACTACCCTTGGAAGTTCTGGGATCTCCCCATCTGGCTCTAGGGTGTACACCGACTGGAAGAATCTTGATAGCTCCTCTGCTGCTTCTTTATCAGTTTTTGTCAGATTTCCGTCTTCTGTTTCCAGCTGGGAAACTCCAACTTTAACTTTCTGGTTTTGTCTCACGTAGTTGTAAAAAGCTTTTGGCTTTTTCTTAAATTCTTTCATAAGCCGCTCTTCGTGCTCTGCTTGTGCTTTCCTCACTATGCTTCTTGTCTTGTTGCTTTGTTTCTTGTACTCTTCATAATCATGGTATGCTTTTGATCTCCTGTACCTCTGGTACAATCTATGTTTCTTTTTGACAGACTTTGTGACATGTGAACGAAGCCATGGGGGTTTACTCTTCGTTTTTGGTTTTGTCCTCGGTACATTTTCCTGGACTGCCTGGTTGTATTCTTTCTTTAAATACTGCCATGCCTCTTCACAGTTCATGTCTTCCATCTTCTGTTCCCATTCAACTGCTCCAAAGTAGTCCCTCATGCTGACATAGTCTGCCTTGTTGAAGTTTAGTCTTCCTCCGTTCTCCTTTTCCCTTGACGTGATGTCAGAGCTGCATACGTAAGTCCACGTTAAGCCAACATGGTCACTCTTTCCCATCGGAGCTACATCTCTAAGATTTTCAACCATGTACTCTTCGTTTGAGAAAACCAAGTCCAGGATTGAGGACTGTTGACCGTCTCTGTGTCTGATAGGCAAGTTGACATGTTGAATGAGGTACAAGTCCTGCGTTGTGTCAAAGAAATGGCTGGCTGGGTGTTGTTCACCCGTCCTTACTTCACTTGTTTCCCAGTTTATTTGTGGGAAGTTGAAATCGCCAATTATAAGTAAGTGGCTCCTCTTCTTCTCTCCTACTTTCTTTAGTAGTTCTAGTAATTTCTCGTTGTTTTCATCAGTACTGCTGGGGCTACGGTAACAGACTCCGACTAGTAGGATTTCATTCTGATTTAACTTAACCTCGCACCAAGCTGAACTTTCAAATCCAGAGTCATTTAAATCTTCACATGGTATTACTTGCAGCGATTTATGCACGTAAAGTAACACACCTCCTCCCGATGATACCGACTTGTCCTTTCTGATAAGTACGTAGTCGTCCAGGGAAATCTCACCGTCTAAAACTGTACTGTCACACCATGACTCCGATATACCAATAATTGTTGGTTTCAAAAGGTCCGTCATAGTAATAAACCCTCCTCTCTTATTTAAAATGCTGTTGGCATTTGTATAGTAGCAATCCAAAAGAAATCTTGGTCTACTAAAGTTTGTTTCTTTCTCTGCTGGTGGTGCTTTCCACATAGTGCTGTTTGTGCTGTGTGGTGCAATAGGTGATATAGGTTCGGTTGGATCTACATGTACATTCGCATTCACCTCCTTTCTTGCTGAAGGCCTAATTATAAATTAAGCAAAAGATTCGGTCGACCTCATTAAGAAGCTAAATTAAAATAAAACCTCAAGGCAGAAAAATACCAGGGCTGAGGCTTATGGCCGGGGGTTGGTAGTTTGCACGGGGACCCCTCCTAGCCCAGACTAGATGTATAGCTTTTCGCAGATCATAGTGGAATGTGTGATCCATTATTTAAAACCGTCCGCATTTGTCTTTCTCAAGATAACCGTCTACACCGTCTATAACTGAAAATGCAGCGCCAGGGGCGTAGCAAGGTCATTTGATTTTTGTTTGGAGGGGGGGGGGGCTGGCTTGGGGCGCTGTTTAAAACAGACGATACGAACGGACAATATATAGCCCTTTCAATGCGACACATACGCGAAATGCATAATAAGGCACTCGTAACGGCCGCTGTTACAAAAATGGCACGGCTTTTAATACATTTTTTTAAAGGGCACTTTTTCGGAAAAAAGGCACTGATTAACAAAGGGGCCACTCGTTAAAAATATTTCGGGGTGGCAAGCTGATGGAAAAAGGGCACTGGAATGTAAAAAGGGCAGTCTACAAAATATATATATTTTTTTTTTCTGGGAGGAGAGGCGGGGTTGAAATACTCCCTTACACCCCCGCTGGTTACGACTATGAGTGCTATAGAGTAGTTGTGGCTTTTTAACACGATAAAAATCTGCAGGTTATCGTTGCCTTATTTGAATTATTGTTTTTTCCCCTTTCCAGCGGTGATGCTTTCCACCATGATCCAAGCACACAAACCAGACCTGTGGATGGTTCTAGGTAAATGGCATCCATTGCTCACTTCAGTCAGCTAGCCATACGAATGTCCGCATTCTCAAGTTACGTTTCGCGCCCGAAATTTGAACAGTATTTTTGAAACAAATCAGGTGGTTTTTTTTGTATGGAGGCTTACAAAGAGATTATTGTGAGTTATGAGTGGGTTGTATGTCAAGTCCTTTGTTGAACAGTATGAACGTTGTTGCAGAGAGAACGTATCGTCAGGAGTTGCTTTGATTCAGAGCGGCGTCATGTATGCAATAGACATTTCGGTTGCACGTATCCTAGAGGGCCGGTGTTCTTTGTTATCCTAGCGTTGTTACAATAAACGCACAAACAAATTAATCGTGCCTATGCAAGCAGTACAAAAACGTTGTCCTCCAACTTAAACTCAATGCATTAGGTCTACAACCGAGACAATGGCGTTGGATCCAATTTGCAATTTGCTATAAAAAGTGTATTTTATTAGGGGGAGGGAGGGGAGAGGACTTGATCCGCCCCCTTATAAGTCACGCAACTGGACAGAGCTAGAGATAGACATTACGACTCAGCCCCCCCCCCCAAAAAAAAAAACCCTCTCTGCTAGCCGCAAATTGGGCCTGTAGAAAAGTTTTGTTAGTTTTCATATTATACTACATGTATTTTTATAGTTCTGATTTTTCTAGTGGCACTATCATTGTGAAATGATCTGTGTTTTGTATGTATGTATAGTCTTAATCAAGTCATGTAATTTTAATTGTTTTAATTGATAGATGGCCCATTGAAAATCATCTGTCAGGTGACATGGCTACCATCTGTAAATAAAGCTATTATTATTATTACTACTACTACAATTTCTTTTAAGCACCAGGATAAAAAAAAAAATATGTGTACAAATGGTACTTAAAACCCGTCAAAGAGTTCATTTGTCTGAACCATAAAACTATGTGCAGTTGTTTAATCGCTTAGGTCTAAGTGCAAAACTAAACTGCATAAAAAATGTGTTACAAACATGTACCAATCTGGGACTGCCCCTGTACAATAAAACTTCCCTTTTCTAACCCTTTCAGTCAAATGGGCGTCTTATGGGGTGAAATTACGTTTTCAAAAAGTGCCCTATACGAGTTGTGTTGAACAATAACTATATTTGAATATACATGTAATTAACAAATACAATCTTTTGCATTAAACATGAGTTCCGTTAATTTTCCAAACTCATAGTTTCTAATAAGATCCATTGGTACTCTTTTTTCTGTTGTAGTCGTTTCTTTGGTGGTTATTTGCATCCAAGCAAGAAGTAACGATGATGGAACCATCTTCCTGGAGCGAGGTAACCCTGGCATCCTGTCCTGCCCTCCCGTCGCATCCGGACGAATCCCGCTGGATCAGATCGATGTCATGTACTGGTACTTCCCCCGAGTACGAGATGAAAATATCTTGATATCCTACTTCCTAGGGATTGTCGCTCCACAAAACGGCATCCTGGACGGTGTGTATGACATTAACGACAACTTCTCTCTGGTTATTGAGAACGTCACTGACTCAGATGAAGGGACCTACTACTGTAGGGTCAAACCGAAGTTAGAAGTTATGGTTGATGGACAAGTGACTAAGCGTGTCAAAGGTGAGTGGGTTAGCGATTAGTAGATAATATTGTATTTATGCGTTGGAGAAAAGCAATATTTTGTCCAACTCAGTTTTAAACCTATTTTCTGAAGGGCGGAAACGTTTAACCCTAAAGGGGCCGGGTTATTTTGACCATCTCTCAGCCGGGGGGGGGGGGCGGATTCCGCCCCCCCCCCCCCTAAGATCTCGGCCATCGAGTGACGAAAAATTTTGAAACTCCACACATGCATAGAGCAACTCTTCCTAAACATGCCCAAGAAATTTCATGACTATAGGTCAAAGGGTTTTGGAATTATGGCTAATTAATTATTCATATGTATGAATGGCAATTCTGCTCGATGTACACGATGTATATGCGAAAATTCAGTTTTCACGGCGCGTAGCGCCGGAAAATTTTTCGCTACGGGCCAACCCGTGGTCCGATTTTTATGTTTTTGGTATCAAAAGATGCGCAAAGCTCGAGGCTAAAAAGTCATAACAGCTTGGGTCGCGAAAAAAATTGTTTTAGAAGCTATCGCGGAAAATGTTGAGGGGGGGGGGGCGGATTCCGCCCCCCCCCCGGCCCTTTTAGGGTTAAAGGAAATTACAATATTTTTTACCATACATATGGGGTTTAGAAGCCAACGTTAGACAAATATCCTGAAAAAGCTGTGCTGGGCTTGGGATTTCCATTCACTTTATTTCAATTCAAGTAATTGTGATCGATTGTTGCAATAATGATCTGACGGCTCTTGTGAATCGTTAATTGTTACGTTCCCCTTTTCTGTACTAAGTGTTTTGAACATAAAACATATCAAAAATGTTAAGATTTATTTTAAAAAATCAGGAAGTCCGAACATTTTATTTGAATTTATTCAAAGGATTTTTACAAAAATGTATTCGTTGATATGTTGTGTAGTATCTCCCAAAGAGCCGTTTCCCGACGTGACTCAATGCACTGAACTCATCTCTGAGACTGCGTGTGAGGCAGAGTTACCGAATGACATCAAGAAACCAAGGCTGACCTGCATCGTACGGGATGCCAAGCCTGCCGTGGCTCTCCGATGGCTGCTTGAGTATAGTGATGGCGACACACAGCTCATCGGCGAAAGGTTCACCGTACAACCGAGTATGTACAGGGTGTGACTGAATCTGAATCCCCCGGAATTGGAGAGTAGCAAAAGCTGGTTTTTCACTCTTTGCACTAGGTAGTTTTTTTGAAATTATATCCCAGACTGGAAGATCTCTTCATTTGGCAGACATGGGGCTGCCTCATTAAAGGAAGAAGCATTGCCATGAATTTATTCTCACAGGTAAATTTCGGCCTGTGATACGCTTTATCAAGTAACTATAGGTTTTCCCGTCCAATTTCGCACTTAGTGCATGCAAAAGTAAAGATAGGTCATTCAATTTCGCACATAGTGCATGAGAAAGTATAAATAGGTCATTCAATTTCGCGGATAGGGCAGCCAAAATCACCAATCGGCATTCAAATTCGCTATTGTGCAGCCAAAATGGCCAATCGGCATTCAAATTCGCTATAGTGCAGCCAAAATGGCCAATTGGCATTCATAATCGCTTTAGGGCAACCAAATTCGCCAATCGGCATACGAATTCGTACATAGTGCAACCAAGTTCGCCCTTCAAACCGCCTCGAGCTAAGTTAGAGCATTCAATTTTGCCATAGGGCATCCAATTATTCAATTTGTGCATCCAATTTAGCACATGTAATTTTTTCTATTTGTTTTTTTTTAATAGCTTTCTCATGTTTATATCTTCTTCCACTTTATGAGCTTGCTTTGTCTATATTAAGTCACCGAATAAAAATCATATTTATCGGATGGCCCAAAGGCATATGAATTAACATAGGGAACATTTCCTTACATTTCCCTCTGTTAATTCATATGCCTTTTTTATCTTTGTAAATTTTATTTCATAATGTATATTTTGTTTTGGTCATTTGCACCATCTCTTTAATTATATGCATTGACTAGAGACATAAATCATAGCATGTATACAATATCATGATTTTCTTCTTTCATATAGCATATATATATATGTACTTTTTGTGATTTTATCTTGTATCTGTTTTCATATGACTTTAATCATTTAAAACAATCTTTCATCACAACTTAAGACATTGATTACGGTTTTCTTCCATTATATTAATTCTTTGTTGAACCTTTTATAATCTTTTAAAAACATAATTATAACTTAATGTATATACCTAATATGATATCGCAACTGCAGATGGTTATATTTACTGATCTTTGGTAGGAAATTTACATGTTAAAGTTCAAAGCTCAAAACTCAGTCATTTTTTCAGCCATTGATGTTAATTGCGTAATGTCTGCCAATGTAAATTCTCAAGCTGCTGATAATTATATGTGGAAAGCAAAAGGTGAAATGCAAAGAATGCATTACCAAAGGAGATGAAAGAAATATATGTACAATTTGCACCAAGGCGCTGGTGAGGAACAAAATAACTTGTTCAATAAGCAGGCCAATGCTTCTATAATTTACATTTCACCTCTAGGAGACAAAACAAATACAACTATCGAAGCCCAGGCATCTGTAAAAAATAAATAATGTAAATTGTCCAGTGAAGTTTTATGAATGGTCATTGGTGGCACACATATTGCAGGTTGGGAAAAACGCGCAAAGAATATTTGAATATGTATTACTGTATACAAGTCATGTAAATACAGTGCTAAATTGAATGCACTAGTTATGAACATGAATACCCTATAGCGAAATTGAATGCTCTATCTTCAGTCACGTGTCCTTCCGTGCTAACTTGAATGCACTATGGCGAATCTGAATGCTGTTTTTACACTTTTGATTGCTCTATGGCGAATCTGAATGCCCATTATGAATTTTTGGCTGCCGTATGATGATTCTGAATGACTGTTTTTCTTTTTTGACTGCCCTATGGCGATTTTGAATGACTATTTTGAATTTTTGGTTGCCCTATAGCAAAATTGAATAAACTATTTATACTCTTGCATGCACTAAGTGCAAAATTGGACGGGAAAACCTATACTTGTCAACAAATGCATGTAGTACACAATATCTTTTTTAAAAACCCTGTTTAGGCAAACAATATGATTTAAAAGATTTACTTTTTTAAAAGACGGGCCTTCAAAGGACTTTGTTGAATAATTTTTCAATTTTAAACCGAGGTGTTATCGCTGGGGATGTTTGAAGAAAATTGTGACGACGATTCTTAAAATTGCATCTTTTGGACAAAAGAGGTTTTAGAGTCATTGTGTTTAAATGAAGATACTTTTTGAACAGATTGAGCAATTTCAGTATTTTTTTCGTCTAAAAGTAGAAATTGGCAATCCAGTCATTACCAGTTTTGGTGCTACATATTTTTTTAAACATGAAATATATTTTTGGGGGTTTGGGTTCCGCTTCTTTTTTTACTAACCCTGTAGTTGTTTTTTTTTTTCTCAGCTATAGTGAAATAATAATAACTCTTCCCTTTGTGTTGTGTTTTAGGTGAGTATTTGGTGAACACATTCACGACCTCTGCATCAATCCCAGTTATAGTGAGTGATGGGGACAAGTTCACGTACATATGTCAAGCATACGGGGAGGCTCTGGGCGCCAGGAATGGTAGTCACGTGACCCCTCAAACATTATGTGAGCATTAATATTCATTGTTCTTGTCTTATTGTATATTTTATTTAGTACAACTTCTGGGGCGTATTCAGTGACCCGCAACAAAATCGCCCAAAAATCGACTTACATCATTTTACCAAAATAGGGCCGCGGTGTTCTCGGGTTGCTGATTATACGAGCGCCGAATTAAGTACGTGTCGAGTGCAGCTGGGCGAAAATTCAAGATGGCAGCCGCCGTATCAAAAATGCTAAATGAAAAGAAGGGACAATTAACTGAATTAATACGAAAATAATTGAAATCCCGAAACAGCTATAAAAATTGGCAAAGACAAGGCCGACAAGCCCACTCTGTATAACCACGTACAACTTCACTTTGTTTACTGTTACTGCTCCTGCTCTGCATTAGTGCTTTTAATTTTATACACAAAACTTTACGCAAGTTCCAGTAGAGGCTTAGGGTCTAAGTCCGCCAATTACACGCTTTGTAGTCCTCACCCAGCCTCATATTTTTGGTAAAAGTGTTTTTGTCTGGGCTGTCTTTCCAAGATAAATACCATTGAAACAAACAGTAGCGCTGCGAAGGCTTTGTATTAAAAAGAAACCCATAGTGTTATCTCTGCCTGCACTGCATAATTTTGATGTCAAGCATGGAGGATTAATGATTTTCGATGGTTACCTTTAATGCTTGAGCGCTTCAAGAGCAATGAGCAACCTAGTAGCTTCAATTATATGCCTTTATAGGAACTTTTCTAGTCCTCTTTCTGTTACTGCGGAGCAGACGTTTTCTACGACTGAGTATCAAACACAAACGCAGTTATAAAAATTAATGAATACATTAACCATAAGTGATTTTTTTTACGAATTTGAAATCATATTTGCAGACTTGACATCAACTCAACCTACCACATCTTTAACGGTTATGCCTAGTATGTTGGGCTTTACATCTGCGATGAAGGACGCTCCAGATAGCTCTCAGAATGCTGTGATTGGGCTTGCAGTTGCTTTGTGCCTGTCATTGGCTGTCGTCGTTGGTTTGGTTAGTGCTGTGTGCAAGGTAAATTGCGAAAACAGAATTATGTTCTTTTAAAGTCGTGTACACTCTCAATTAATCAATTATTAAGTAAATAATGTGTAGCCAATATCCATATCCTTGTACAGATGTTGTCTTAATAAGCACACAAGCAGGTTAAGTGCACCGCAGTTGTGTAGAGGGGGTGCATACCTATGTTTCCCAAAACCTATGATCCCAAATACCGATGTTCCCTGAAATCCTTACCCTATATCCCTTACCCTAACCCTAACCCTTATCCTAATCCTAAGGATTTCGGGAACGTTGGTATTAAGGAACATAGGTATTAAGGAACATTGGGTAGACCCGGTTAAGTGATGCCTTATGTACAGTTTGGGTTTATTAATTAAAGTTATTAATGGTGTCATATTTTGAGTATGCGCATTGAACAAGATGTCTAGACATATACCGGAGTGGTGCTCGTCGCTGTCTTGTTAATGATAGCGGCTCATGACTTGTTGTAGTATGTAATGTCTTATATTTTCAATGTCATTTCAGATGAGGAAGCCTGGACAAACGAATGGAATACAGGTATGCAAACACTTTCTAGTATATTAGTAGGTATATCTCTGATATACGAAAGCCCTGTAGTGCCATCAAGTATATATTTGGCCAAGTTCGTTTTTATGAGTTATATATTTCGCAAGGTTCGTTTTTATGAGTTATATATTTCGCAAGGTTCGTTTTTATGAGTTATATATTTCGCCAAGTTCGTTTTTATGAGTTATATATTTCGCCAAGTTCGTTTTTATGAGTTATATATTTCGCAAGGTTCGTTTTTATGAGTTATATATTTCGCCAAGTTCGTTTTTATGAGTTATATATTTCGCAAGGTTCGTTTTTATGAGTTATATATTTCGCAAGGTTCGTTTTTATGAGTTATATATTTCGCCAAGTTCGTTTTTATGAGTTATATATTTGGCCAAGTTCGTTTTTATGAGTTATATATTTCGCAAGGTTCGTTTTTATGAGTTATATATTTCGCCAAGTTCGTTTTTATGAGTTATATATTTCGCCAAGTTCGTTTTTATGAGTTATATATTTCGCAAGGTTCGTTTTTATGAGTTATATATTTCGCAAGGTTCGTTTTTATGAGTTATATATTTCGCCAAGTTCGTTTTTATGAGTTATATATTTCGCAAGGTTCGTTTTTATGAGTTATATATTTCGCAAGGTTCGTTTTTATGAGTTATATATTTCGCCAAGTTCGTTTTTATGAGTTATATATTTCGCAAGGTTCGTTTTTATGAGTTATATATTTCGCAAGGTTCGTTTTTATGAGTTATATATTTCGCCAAGTTCGTTTTTATGAGTTATATATTTCGCCAAGTTCGTTTTTATGAGTTATATATTTGGCCAAGTTCGTTTTTATGAGTTATATATTGTCCAAGTTCGTTTTTATGAGATATATTTTACGGAATTACGGAGTTTTATGAAGTTACGGAGCCCCTAAAGGAACATCCAAAATTATTTGTTTATCCCGTGCGCACGACATAATATCTCGTGCGCACGAGATAATTATCACTGGCGCACGACATATATCACGTGCGCACGACATAATATCTCGTGCGCACGAGATAACTATCCCGTGCGCACGACATATATCTCGTGCGCACGACATATATCTCGTGCGCACGACATATATCTCGTGCGCACGACATATATCTCGTGCGCACGAGATAATTATAAGCATAAACGGAGCTTGCGCATGTCGTGAGCACGAGATATATGTCGTGCGCACGAGAAAGTATGTCGTGCGCACGAGATAAAAACATAATTTTGGATGTTCCTTTAGGGGCTCCGTACCAGACACGCTGCTTTCGTTACAAACAAACTCATCCGCTGCACGTGCAGCAAGCTCCGTTAATACTTATAATTATCTCGTGCGCACGAGATATATGTCGTGCGCACGTGATAATTATCTCGTGCGCACAAGATATTATGTCGTGTGCACGAGATAGTATGTCGTGCGCACGTGATATATGTCGTGCGCCTGTGATAATTATCTCGTGCGCACGAGATATTATGTCGTGCGCACGAGATAAGAAAATAATTTTGGATGTCCCTTTAGGGGCTCCGTAACTTCATAAAACTCCGTAACTCCGTAAAATATATCTCATAAAAACGAACTTCGACAAAATGTATCTCATAAAAACGAACTTCGAGAAAATGTAACTCATAAAAACGAACTTCGAGAAAATGTAACTCATAAAAACGAACTTCGAGAAAATGTATCTCATAAAAACGAACTTCGAGAAAATGTAACTCATAAAAACGAACTTCGAGAAAATGTAACTCATAAAAACGAACTTCGAGAAAATGTATCTCATAAAAACGAACTTCGACAAAATGTATCTCATAAAAACGAACTTGGCGAAATATATAACTCATAAAAACGAACTTGGCGAAATATATAACTCATAAAAACGAACTTGGCCAAATATATAACTCATAAAAACGAACTTAGCGAAATATATACTTAATGGCACTACAGGGCTTTCGTACTGATATCACCGAACGCTTATACAACATGTAAATGGTAATAATGACAAATGCATTTTAGGTAACACTGTGGTCGTTGTAAAGTAAGTGATGGTTAAAAAAATATCGAAATGGATTACATACCATTAAAAAGGCAACCTTTATGCAGAAACGAATATCCTGCGCGATTTTCGAATGGTTTGTTGGAGCTGACGGAATGAAAAAGGTGCATGAAAGCACCGAGGCCTGAAAACATGATATTAAAAATACTGCACTAGCTTTGGTTCAGGCCTCTATTACCCGTTTTGTTTGAGATACACTACATTATTTTTTCTCCTTTCAAAATTCGCATTTTAATCTTGATGGGAAGAAGAATATATCGACTGAATTGAAGGAGTTTGCTATAACCCTGGATCATTGACCTCATTGAATGACTTTTGCTTTATACTCTCTCTTCATCTACTTAATAGTTGCCGGCGGACAACCACACGGATTGTGAAACCACGGACCCACTTAACGAACAGAGTGTAATGTGATTTATTTACCAAGTAACAAGCCAGTACGTATCTATATTGCAATCTGAATGACAGAAGTTGAAAATCGCCACCTATTGTTCCATGCTGCCCACGGCGTCCGTTTTGAACATCGCCACCATAGGAAAATGTTGATATATATTCCCAATTTCACGTTTGTTTTTGTTTTTTTGTATAGTACCACACAACTATTATACCTTTTGTACCCAGTAAACTTTTTTTTTACCTCGTAACGTTTGTACCGCGCAACCAAAAACGTTTGTACCGCGCAACTAAACAAAGCAGATATATGCACACAAGCCTATGGGGGACGTGGTAACCGAATCCACATTTTTGCAATGTTGTTCTAGTAAAAAAGAAGATGGACATTTTTGTTTGCGCAAAAGTTGGACCATGCAAAACATCTTAAACCATGGTGCCGTTAAAAACAATAAAATTGTGCATCTACTTCAAAACAGAACTTTTCTATGATTTCGTTGGTACCCCGCTATGATTTTGCACGCGTGTGGAGAACTATTTATCCCCCGACCGCAAGGGTGCGTTCGAGCGTGGTACTCATGTTAAAGGGAATGTACATTACTGGCATTTGCTGTAATTTTCAGAAATGATCTATTTGAGGGGTTAGTATAATAGATCAAACATTGTTAAACTGACATGATTAAAGTTTTGTGTGCTGGAAAAAAAACCCATAAATGTTCGAGTAGTCTCGTTCCCTGACTTCGTTAAAGATAAAATGGATCAATTTATAGATGCCGAAAAGGTAAGGTAAGGGAACCAGTCTAGCTGGTCTGCACCCGTTCATGAACATGTAACCACTAGCAAAAACCTTTGGACTAAAAAAGGGTAAATTTGGAGCAGTAGTTGAAAAATAGTTAGGTTTTTCCAACGGCGATCGGCCGACCACCGTTGGAAATGTATACAAAAATACCATTTTTTGGAAAATGACTTTACACCAGGTGCCATAGTTTTGCAGGATGCTTTTATCATTTACCAACATCACATAGTAAGGTATTTCGAAAAAACTTTTTGTTTTTTCCGATGTTTGCAAATGTTGTCTTAAGCGCACTAACGGCAGGAGTACGACCCGCGGGTTAGCAAGAGTATGCTCTCCGTTATACCGGAAGTATACTCCTTCACTGAGAGTAATGTGCACGCAACATTTTCCTGCATTCGGGAGTAGCAAGAGTAACACACTCGAACGCGCCCCAATCGATGTCCTGGGATGTGCACATGCGCAGTAGTACAGTTTTGGTAACTCCGTGGCTTACGGTGCATTGTGTCTATTGACAGTCCCTCGCGTGCACTTTACTGGTTGCAGTAGGCAGCTGTACATAACCGTAAGTGACGGACTTACCGGGAGAAGTTGTCAGGGTGTTAGTTCAGTGAGTTGACGAGGAACTCCGTCCACGTAGCGAGGCCGTATATAGTGGTGAGTAGACTTAAATTTAGTGCGAAGGATTAAGAACCTGTACAGGGAACTCGCACCCGTGTTTAAAAGGAGGCACCGGGAAGGTGATAAACACCTGTTAAGACCTATATGATTTGGTCCACCTGAGTAGATATTAATAAATGAATATCAACCTAAAGAGACACGTCCTGTGTTTGATTTAGAGGTGCCCCGATTTCCTTCCCCTGCCCTGTTCCCATGTGTGCTTGCGCGAGTACTGCAGGCGGCAGCTCCGCCTTCAAACACAGTTGTTCCCCTGCTGCGCCTGGCGGTAGACTGCCCCGAAACGGTCCTGCTCCCTTGGCCTTCTCATGCAGGCTTGATCGCTCGTTGACGTCGGCCGATCGAGGACGACTCGGGGTTGCTTGTCGGCACGACCGCCACAACTCTGATTGACTTGCGATTCATTGTATTTTTAGAAATATCTTCAGAATTTAAGAAATTCACTATTTCATTGCGTCATTACCGTAATCGTGTAGGCCCTATTTATCTGATTCCAACGGTGCCCTCTAATTCCAGATAGCGGACACTGCCCGAATTTAGATGCCAGCCGTTGATTGTTGTTTAATTATTGACGCATCCTTTGGGTATAATTGAGTATTTTGATCATTTCTAAAGTATATTCATTTGTATATTCATTCTTTTGTAATTTGTATATTCATTCGTTTGTTATTTTATGTATCATTCTGTTTTCGGTCGAAGACCAAGTTACAAACTGTCTTCATTCCTCAACTGAACAGAAATAAACCAGCACAAATGAGAACAATCTGCCGAAGGGTCACACATCAAGAAGTGATTATTACAAGCCATCAAGATATTGGAATTTTGTGTCATTACCTCTTATTTTGTCGGTGATTTTTTTTAAAACAAAATTTAACCTTGCAAACACGCAACAATGTATTTAATTTTACTACACTTCATAAACATTTATGTTCAAATTGGAGGGCGTCATTGGCGATTCAGTCGCGCGTCTGGGAAGTAAAAATTTTACGCGCCCATGTGACGTCATCCCGGTGAGTATCCAGCTCGCTACCGTGTGGTAGTTTTTTCTGGTAGCACCAAACGTTTGCTCTGGGACCCGCCTCGTAGACATGCAGTCTATATGGCATGTAAACTTTACGGAACCAGTCTGTTCTTGTAATCCTGGTTATTACTGCAGCAGTAAAGACACATTAAAGAGTGTTGGCACCAGACTATTTCATGTACTGTGACGAAGAACTCTAATTGTGCTGAATAAAGATGCAAAATCTGCAAAATCTGCAAAATCTACGAAGGCCGTTATCGACAAGACAGTGAGGCTGCTTAATATTTATGAGGTGTAGTAAAACAACATGGTTTATTTCTGGAAAATAGTTGGAATTACTGGTCCCTCGGTGTAGGTCAGCTTGACTACCTCCCTCCGTTTCGCGTTGGGAGGTAGTCAAGCTCACCTACATCTCGGGACCAGTAATTCCCACTACTTTCCCTCAAACCATGCTGTATTTGTATAACACCACATTAAACTAGATTAATGCAGAGTACAGAGTTCTGTAGTCAGATTTCTACAGTTGAAATGAACTTTCACTGGAAATATAGAATGAACCTCAGAATATTTATCTTTCTGTCTTTGCAGGGGTTTTCACTTCATATTGTCTTTTTTGAGAGAAATAAAAATAAAGGTTCTGGATATCAGCCATTATTTTGTGCACCTGGATTCAGGGGTCATCTTCCTTCCCTCCGTCCATGCATACACAATACATGTACATATTACACCGCGACTGAACTGACATTTAATACAGAAATAGCACATTTAACACAGAAATAGCACGGAGTCTAGCGAAAATGTTTTCAAATGGGACCTAAAGTAAACATTTTGATTATTTGATGTCTACAAAATACTGATTAGGTGTAGTCTTTGCCCTATGACAGAGATGATTCACACAGGTATTCACAATACATGACGTCTCTGCTGTTTTCTTCGAAGCTCATAGGCGTAGCCAGCGGGGGGGGGGGGGGGATTTACCGCCCCCGATATTTTGTAAAGACTGCCCTTTTCTATTTAAATGCCCTTTCTCATCAGCGCTTACCCCCCCCCCCCCTTCGCTTCGCGTCAGGAGGTAGTCAAGCTGACCTACACCTCGGGACCAGTAATTCCCACTACTTTCCCTCAAACCATGCTGTATTTGTATAACACCACATTATTTGAATGCAGAGTACAGAGTTCTTTAGTCAATATCTACAGTTGAAATGAACTTTCACTGGAAATATAGAACGAACCTCAGAATATTTATCTTTCTGTCCTTGCAGGGTTTTTCTCTTCATATTGTCTTTTTTGAGAGAAATAAAGGTTCTGGATATCAGCCATTCTTTTGTGCACCTGGATTCAGGGATCACCTTTTTATACAGAAAAAACACATTTAATACAGAAAAAGCACGGACTCTAGCAAAAATGTTTTCAAATGGGACCTAAAGTAAACATTTTGATTATTTGATGTCTACAAAATACTGATTAAGTACAGAGTACAGAGTTCTTTAGTCAATATCTACAGTTGAAATTAACTTTCACTGGAAATATAGAACGAACCTCAGAATATTTATCTTTCTGTCCTTGCAGGGTTTTTCTCTTTATATTGTCTTTTTTGAGAGAAATAAAGGTTCTGGATATCAGCCATTATTTTGTGCACCTGGATTCAGGGATCACCTTCCTTCCCTCCGTCCATGCATACACAATACATTTACATATTACACCGCGACTGAACTGACATTTAATACAGAAATAACACATTTAATACAGAAATAGCACATTTAATACAGAAATAGAACGGAGTCTAGCGAAAATGTTTTCAAATTAGACCTAAAATAAACATTTTTATTATCTGTCTACAAAATACTGATTAGGTGTAGTCTTTGCCCTATGACAGAGATGATTCACACAGGTACTCACAATAAATAATGTCTGTGCTGTTTGTTTCGAAGCTCATAGGCGTAGCCAGCGGGCGGGGAGGGGGGGTATTTACCGCCCCCGATATTTTGTCGGGTTTGAACAGCGCCACCGTCCCATGGTACCAGCCCCCCAACCCCCTCCCCCCACTATTTGATTTTACGGAGGCTAAGTGTCCGGGGGAAAAAAACGTGTCTACATTTCAGCACAGATGTGCAAGTGCCCTTTTCAAAAAATGTTTACCCCCCCCCCCCCCAATAAAAATGACCGTGCTACGCCACTGGCTTGATCGATAAATACACGTAGGTCTTGTTCCAAGCCTGTAGTTTGCTTTGGCGCGTTTCCTCCTACACAATTTAAACATGTGATTTAGTTTACTAATAAGAGCGTTCTTAAATGCCGATGATTATTATTATTATTATTATCTAATCCGATTTTATTATTATCTAGTCGGATTTTCATATAGGAGTCGGATTTTCATATGACACTGTTCACGCACACGTACTGGTACATTGTGTGACATGCAGACGTACCTTTAACTGGGGAACGTTCCATTTTAAAGTGGGTGAAATGTTGGTTTTTTTTTTTTTTTAATGGCAGTCTTTTTGCTGCAATATTATAGCACTTTTCCTTAAA